TCTGCCGATATACATATGCTGTCTCCCAAATCTAACGTTACACTTGGATCATACGCCAGAAGCTTCAGCATACGAGTATTGGTGGCGCTATAGAGGCACCTCCGGGTAGTTCTTGGGGGGGGGGGGGGGGNNNNTATATATATACATACACATGCATATACAGATGCATATACATATTCATATGTATGTATGTATGTATGTATGTATGTATATATATATGTGTATGTTCATATTCATGCTCATGAATATGTATGTTGTGTGCATGCAGCCTAAAAGACTCGAACATGCATGTAAATGTTTGCCAACAAATGCTGGTATCTGTGTGTGAGGTGTATGTTGGTATGTGCAATGCAGCAGCTCCTGTATCTGGTTTAGCATGAAATTAAATTTCGTCTGCAGACGTGCTCCTCTTTCTGTCTTTCTTTTTTAATTTTCTCTCTATTTCGCTCTCGCTCGCTCTCTCTCTCTCTCTCACAGTTTCTCTCTCTGTCTCTCTCTCTCTCTGTCCCTTGCTGCCTGCCCGCCCATGCCAGCCGGCCAGCCTGCTTGCCTGCCTGACTTCGTGCATAAAGGGATGCAATGCTTGAGTGTCCGTATGCAAGAATCGAAGCAGGAAAGGGCTGTCTGTGCTCTATTACGTTCCTGTTCGCCATGTTTGTGCGTAGGCAAGTGTGTATGTATGTCTGGTTGATTGCATGCATGTATGTATGTATGTTTGTATGGTATTGGGGTATTTACCTATGTGTATACGTATGTTATGTATGTATGTATGTCACGTAAGTATGCAAGTTATCTTGCCTTGTGGTTGCTTCGTTGTTTGGGGCTCCAGCATGCGAGGAGGCAGCTTACTCCACAGGCTAGCTTCATTCCGAAACAGGATCTTTTGTTACCATTCCCGGCGGTATGTCCAGCAAAGCTGTACCTCAACAAAGGCCCCCAGATTCTGGACTTGGCCTAAGCCCACGGGACGGAAGCAGGTGAATCTGACGATGATTACTCCTATTCGGAAGATGAGGACGGAAATCCGCGGCCGAGGCACAGCAAGGGATCCCCGAACTCGCTGTAACTGTAGCCCTTTGAGGATGTCTGTGCAGTCAATGTCTGCAGGCGGCAGAGGATGGCATATGATGTGGGAGAGCATCTTGAGAGCAAGTCCATATCTCTCTGCACTCGAAGATTCCTAAAGGCCTTGTCTCGGTTGTAGTGCCTTCAGCAATGAAATCTTTCCATCTATATAGGATTATATAGGTGTGGAGTCGGTGCATCAGGTTTGGTAAAGCAACCAAAACAGCAAGGCTGGACCTGCTCAAGTGATCGTGAAGGTGTCTCGTGACCAACTTGTCGGCATGTATGTTACTGGACTTGTGATGGGGCTTTGGGCTGCGTAAGGTACATCTTGCTGCGCCCAGCTTTCGTTGCCCGCGACGCAAAGACCTTTGATCCTGCAGCTCGGCTGCATGCGTGGGTTCCTTCGTTCTGAAACCCGGTCTGTAGAGATCGGAGGAAAAGCATCTATGACCAGACCCCACGAAGCAATCCATCGTGGGTAACGCTAGCAGTTACGAAGGCAGGATGCGAGAAATGCCTGAATAGCGCAGGATGACGATGAGGTCGTCGAGGAGCTCGAGGAAGGCGGCTGTGGCTGGATGTGCTATGGGGGTCATGGGGGGTGTCACAGGTTTTCCAAGGGCCCATAGCTCGCTTGGCGCATGGTCGGCTGTCGCAGGCCAAGAAGTTCGCGCGGTGGAAATCGTGGAGCTGAAGGAAGAGAAACGAGTGTTCCGAGCTCAGAGCTTCCCTTTAAAGGCGGCTCAGTCGTGGTTTGGTTGGTGCGCTGCATGTTGGACAGAGTGACGGAACGCTGAAGCCGTCCACCTGTGGATATGCATTTTCCCCCACCTCAGTAGGTCCCAGTATGATTGCACTCATATGCGCTGGCTACTGAAAGTTTTATTCGATATACAGTTTTGCACCTTGCTGTCAAGCTGGTTTTGCCCTCATCAGAACTCAGGCGAGCTCGTCTCCATCAGCCGGACCGCCCGGCAGTGGAATGTTGTTTAGTTGCATGTAGTACGTCCATTCAGCCTGTAGTTAGAGCCCAGTCTCGGGTCCAGCAGAACTGGGTAGTGCTCTGTAGTATGCTGTTGCTGGTAATCGTGATGCCAGCACACGCCGAGCCTCTGAACGGTGACTTGCAGTCTCTGAAGATTCCCGCACATCCCTGACGTTGACCAGTGCACACTTTCTTTAGGCGAGGTTCTTTAGTGTTTGACGTCGCGTTTGGTTCCGCGGCTCTGGAGGACGGCTGGGTGACCTTTGCCAACACTGCGACGGGCGTCCGAAGAGTCGTGGCCAAGGAGGAGTGGCTGGAGACCCGCACGGCAACTCGACGGCAACGAATCCACTTCACACGTGGTCACGCGGAGAATGTCACGAAGTGCTTGGTGGGGCTTACGGCGTGTCCGTAAAGAGTCTTCTGAGGAAGAAACAACGGAAAAAGCGCTAAAGTGCTATAAAGTCCGCTAAAGCCCGAAAGACCAACGCCATTCTAAGGCCGAGTCCTGGGCTTCTGGCGATGTCGGTGACGTGTTTGCATTCTGTGCCCGAGAGAGCGGGGACCTCCCGGTGTTTTCCATTTTTGGGAAGACTGTGCAGCGAGCTTTGGGTGAGCGTGGAAAAAACTAGCGAGTCGAACCTCGGCGATCGCGAATCAGGTGGCGAGGATGAGGAGGAGTCAGACTCTGCCTCCGAGTCAGAGCGGCATCGGCCTCAGACAAATCAGCAGCTCGGATGGTGGAGTGCAGGTTCGCCGGCTTCGCTTCTGCGAGGTCAGAAGAGGATAGCAGGCAAGCACGGCGAGTAGTTCACCGACACCTGGCCCCTGACGAGCTTTGCTGTCGGTTGGGCTCTGTCACCTTGTCAAACTCCCCGACCTGCTTTCTCATTTAATCGTAACAGGACTTCCAACTAAATGGAGTGATTGCCACATTGGCGAGAGATCATCTGCGAGCCCTCCAAGGAAATTCGGGAGACATGATCCCTTCTTTCGCAGATGTGGGGACGGTGCACACGGACGGCGATCTCCTCAGTCGCTCCAACCAAGGTTACCTGGCAGGAATTCTGAGGGCAGAGGAGATTGCTTTTGTACCGACCCGATGCATCCCGATGCCCTGCCAACCCCCACAAGCATGATGAAGGAGCATCAGCGTGTTACGCAGTCTTTCTTACCCTTCTTGCGGCTTGCGTGCGAGCAAAGCTGAAGCCTCGATAACATGTGCCAGTAAAGACCAGGCTGAGCTAAACGCCTCGAACAAACGTAGCAGAATTCGAGGCATCGCACCCTCAAAACCCTTAAGACGGGTTGCTTTCAAACAAGAAGGGATATGAATGAAGCCTTATTGAGGAGAGCTGGCACCCACACCAAAGTTCAAGCAGCTCTATCCTGACGGCCGGCAGGACACTTGCCCATGACCACAGGCTCTTGCAGTCAGCTTCGTCACGGCTGGCTACCCAAAACCCTATAAACCCTATGTAGATTCCTGAGCTAAGACTTTAGCAGAGGGAAACAGGCCCTCAACAAAAACCACTCCAAAGCGATTTCCACCCTCTACGAAATCCTGGCAGGACTCGAGGAAGACACAGTCGGAAGCTGACGAGCAAACCGATGATGAAGATCCCTTCGAAGATGAGCCGGAGTAAGTAGTCAGCCTTCAACAGAAGTGGGTGATCTTTAAGAGGGACCCACGGATCATTGAGCATCCAGCTCCTCTTCCGTATCTGGAGGGGGGGCCTTTCTTTTGCGAGCATTTAAATCTTGTCATGGTTCCGTTTAGGGGCCGCGGACACGAATTTGAGTTGCATTTGCCGGTAGTGACCTACTGCATCACAGAACGTGAACACACTGACACACTGACGTCGGGCTGCAGGCTCTCATTAGCGGTCATTCTGCCGTGCTGCCTTCGCAGTGTGCCACTGCCAAATTGCTGTACTCGGCAGAAGTCGTTTAATATCCTGTCGCGGTCACGCGTCACCGGTCTGAAAGATCCATACTGGCGACGCTAGCAGTGGTACCGCAGTCTACTGCGGCTGGCATAACTTGCCAGGCAACTTTAAAGACCCTGCAGCTCAGCACACGCCAGGTGTTGCCTGGCGCAAAGTGCAAAGCGCGCGAGGGTCACCCAATAAAAAATCCTGGTAAGACAGATGCAGGGGGTTTTCGGGAGATTTTGCTACATGTTTGCGAAGTGGCACTTGCCGCATCTGTGGGTCAAGCATTGAGAGTCGTAAGCTGCAGCTCAGCAGACATGCGGAATGCTCCTGCTTTTGTGTGTTGGTGAGAAATCTAGCGAATGTGTGTTGCCTCGACAAGTACTCCGTACTCGTACTGTCTATGATCCACGGCGGCGGTAGTATGAGGTGTGGCTACGAGCAGCACCAGCCAGAGTCTGGCTACAGTGGGTAGGCTAGGCGGCTAGACAGTCTCACTTGCAGAATGCTATGGGCCAGACAAGCCCCTTCCCAAACTGCCGATGCCCGCCGCGTCTGGCAGTGGACGGTGGAGGGGAAGGCTGTGGTTGAAACTCATGGAAGCCCACACAGACCATGCAAACGAACACCTCGTCATGCGACATCCTGTGCTGAGAAGGAGCTCAATGCGTGTCTCAGATCTTGCGGTGTTCCACAACTGCCTCTAGCTCACCTGGAGCACCGGAAGCCAGGCAGACTAAATCTTCTTTCATGTTCGCTAGTCGCTGCTCCGGGTGACCGTGTACAAAACCATCATCGTGGTTGTATGATCAGCTGGTTAGCATTCCCATCCAAGGGCTTCTTCGGGTCTTGGTGTCACCGTTGAAGCAGCTCTTCCCCTGCTCTGTGTGTTCAGTCTCGGAGTTGTCCGACTCTTGCTGTCACTCCCTTGTCGGCAAGCCATAGACTTTCATAGATTATGTGAGTCTCTATGAATTCCTAAACCTCGGCTTTGCTGCTTGCTCTCGGCCGTTCCGTCATTGAGGAAGCTCAGCGGCAGACACCCACAGTCTTCGCCACAGCTTATTGGCAAGCACTTGTGGGCTGTGGACGGGAGAGGAAGTTCCATTTATTTCCTTGCCACTTTCACTCCAATCTTCCATTTTGACTGCAAGTCATTGCTGAGACATGCCGTGACTGAGTTTGTTGAGGATGCAGGGATGGAGGACGATTCCTTTCCAACCATGCAGGTGCAGGGGTGATAGTCGTCGCACAGTCTAAAGAAGCATGCTTCGTAAGATGGTCCGTTACTGTCGTTAACTGTGCCAGGTAAGCTTGGGCAGATGTCGTTGAATGTAGAGACTACCCCTGCAGGTGTTCGTTGAGCAGATGAAGAATGGTGTTCGCCTCATCCTGAGCCTAGACGGAATTGGCCTCGATGTGGATGCCAAGCTCGACCAGTCCTGGGAGACTTTGACACTGGTCTTCAACGGCGTAGAGAAGACCATACGCCTTGGGGGCGTGCAGCATGTCTCCGTGTACAAGAACCCTGAACCCTACCGGAGACTCGAGCAATTGGAGGCATCCAGCGACCCCTGTTGGGCAGTCCGTGCTTTGGCGCAAAACCCTCAAAGCTACGTCTTTGGGCTGCGACAGTCCGTGAAGGCAGTGCAAAACAAAACTGCGGGTGCCCTGAATGCTTTGATCCAAGGCCTCGAACTGGAAGATGACCGTTTCTGCGAGTTCATCTTCCTCTCTCAAAGCGATGGGAAGTATTTTGGTCGCTGCCTGAACGTCCTCGTGGAAGCTGCACGCCTGGCTCGCTTGAAGGCTCGTGGAGATCAACCAGATGTCGACGCTTGCCTGCATCGGATGTGGTTGGAGGTCTTGGGGTTAAGGTTTAAGGGTTTAGGGTTTGGGGGTTTAGGCTTTTTTTGGGGGGGGCCAGAATCTTGCTGCTCACTGCGGGAAAGACGCAGCATCAAGAGGGCTCTTGAATCTTCCGGCAGACAGCCGACGGTTCTGCCTGGGCAGCTCTCTAAATTAGGGTCCCTTTCTATGTCCCCAACATAGTACGACATATAAAAAGGACCTCAACAGAGACCCTAATTTAGAGAACTACCCACATATGAGAAGCGGGGCTTCTGAGACAGTGAGACTTGTTTCGCGAGTGCCCGAAGCATGCTCAAGCTTTGCCCTCGCATTTCCACCATCTGTCGGTGGCATCTATCTTACAATTCTCCTTCATTAGGCGGCTCCAAAGGTGTTTTAAAGGATCCCTCCTGGTGTGAGGCCCTTGACTTCAATCTCCTATGCCTAGCAGTGGTGGTTCCAAAACTGATACCTCAGCCAACAGCCAGTTTGAGATGGACTACTACTTGTTGCGCAAGACGTGATCACCCGCAGAATCAGTGGACTGTACACAGATGGATCGTACGAGGTGTCAAAGCTCCAAACTTGACAAAGATTGCGCTGTCCTGAAATGTCCCGGAACCCTAAACCCGAAAGCTAAAACCTAAAATCCTAAACCGTAAACCCTACAACCATAAATTCCTCAACCCAAACCCTAAACCCTAGACTGAGGCCGCGGAGGAAGCAGATGCTGCAGCGGGTGCGCTGACGACTCGCTCCGTCGCTCCAGGGCCTGGCCCGCACCCGGCCGCTGAACTGGCTCAGGCCTGGGCCGATCTGGAGTAATAAATAACAATAGCAAATATAGATACTTGTATATGTTATACACAATATACACACACACATACTTATGTGTATATAGATATACACACATACATATACATATACATATACATATACCTATGCGTATACCTATGCGTATGCGTATGCGTATGCGTATGCGTATGCGTATGCATATGCATATGCATATGCATATGCATATGCATACATACATACATACATACATACATACATACATACATACGTGTGTGTATGTACACGCACACTTATAACCAATATCTATCTCTATATATATATATATTTATTTATTTACTTATTTATTTATTTATTTGTTTGTTTATATTTATATTTATATGCATGTCTTTATTGGGGACCAAATTGGG